CTACTACTACTCCTGCTACTACAACTACTACTCCTGCTACTACTACTACTACTACTACTACTCCTGCTACTGCTACTGCTGCTGCTACTACTACTACTACTACTACTCCTGCTGCTCCCGCTCCTGCTCCTGCTGCTGCTACTACTGCTACGACGACTACGACGACGACGACTACTACTCCTTTACTAAGTACTAAGTACGAATATGACGAAGACGCCGACTACGTCGACCGGCAGCCTCCAAGTCTCGACATACCGCGCGCTAAGAAGACTTCTACGGGCTCTGTGCCCTGGGGCTCCTTTTGGTGACAAGTCGATTTGGGGTTCTGTAGTTTGGAGAAGTTTAGAGCCGTTCGCCTGTAGGAACGAAAACCTCATTGGTCTCCGTAGCAAGCTCTTGGAGCCTGCCCTGTTTTAGCTTCGGATCCTGAGCGTGAACCCACAAAACCTCAATTACGGACCCGCTTCCTATAGCCCCAAAACTCCAGAACCTGAAATCCAGCTTCAAGCATCAGAAGAAGAAGATGCTCGCGAGGTATCAAAAGCCTCTTTGAAGCCCAAGCCCCTTGGCCCTCCACTGGCCCCCACCCCAAACAGCCTTTCCAAAAAACACACGCGTTTTCAACCCCCGCACGGTCGGCTCAAAGCCGGTGAGCAGCGGGCCGCCGGAGTTGACGGTTTCAAGCCTCATGAGTTTCGGGTGTTTAGGGGTTGTTCAAGAGTCAAGGTTCTTATATGGGCTTGGACATATATGTGTGATCTTCCACGGCTTTTCCCGAACGCATTGAGGCATACTGTTGGTGATAACTGAGTGCTGACTTCTGCTGACTTCAACGATTCCAGCAGTGGGCACAAAGGTGTGTAGTGTAGCACCCGAATCACTCAGGAAGTCTCATCAAAGAACCGGTGGCATACCAAGACAAACACCAACTTCCCGAGCTTAAGCAACGAGATTGACACAGATGTTCAGCTCTTCCAAGCTTACACAGATCCGATGAAAATGCTCAACGGTGCTCAACCCATCTCAACCCGGATCATCAGGGCCCCAGGCTTCTGGAAGACTTGAGGTCTGTCCGCGGACTGCAAAATCGAAAACGACATGTCAGAAAGGTACAGAAGCAGCCACTCCGAGCCCCAAGCTTCTGCAGGACTTGTGATCGTGCCAGAGGACTGCAAACTTGTCAGAAAGACACTTTGGAGTTTAGGGGTTGGGGGTCAGAGGTTTAGGGTTTAGGGGCTAGGGGTGAGGGGTTAGAGAGGTTTAGAGGTTGGTTCAAGTGCCGAATACTCATGAATCCGAACACCTTGGCCCCACAGTGCCCGGCATACTTGCTCTCACTGCTGGCTCCGCAGCCCATACGCTGTGAAGAACGCTGCAATGTCCAGGGAACCCTCGATGATAGCTTTGCGTTGGGGATTGTGTTATTTCAGCATGTCACGATTTGACTTCCAGATTTCTGCACCAGCTCCTTGGTTCAATTCGCTTGTACATGGCGTCAGGGACTAAGCCACACATTTTGGAGTTCGAGCAGCACGGAGTTTGGGGAGTCGCATGTCAATGACCTACTCGGTGCTTGAGGGTTCAGGGTCAGGGCGCAGACATTCAGCAGATGATCGAGTCTCTGAGCTTTACAGGGCTGTTTTACATGCCTTGTGACAGCACTTGAGCCGCACGACGAGACATCACAACGCTCTTCAACTTCGGACGCTACACATTGGGGGTCGGTGCAAGACACCGAGTGCCTCAAACCCGAATTCCGCGACTTGACCCGTGTGTTAGCGTCGGATCCTGACCCCAGTCCTCAAAGGTCCCAAGCCAGCAAAGACCCAAGACCAACACCAAAGCAAGACTGCAATGGTACGGCGACAAGTTTGAATGCTCGGGCTCCACCACAGCGCGACCTCTGCTTTTTCGGCGAAAGATCCAAAGCGCTTTAATGGGGCAGCTAGCCACCTTTGGGGCCAGGCTGCGGTCGTCTTCGCTAACAACAACAACAACAGAAAGGCCACCACCAGCGCGCCGAGGCTGAGGCCTCGCAGCCGAAAGAGTCGAAACCCCGAAGTCTCCCACAGAAGCCACGACCGCACTCCGGGCCGGGCCCCGGCCGGGCCTCGGATCAAAGATCGATGCATTTCTGACGCACCGGCAGCGCGTCGAAGGTGGCCCGGACCTTTTCCTTCTCCTCTTTGCCTGGGGCATGGTTTGTGTGTCAAGGTCCAAGATGCTTTGACAAAGCCCCCGAGGCCCGGGCCGAGCTTGTTGTCTTCCAGAACAACGTAGAGTTTCGTGCACTGCGGCAGCTCTCGCAGGCTCTCCACCACTGCGTTGGCGCCTGCATCACCTCGGGCGGGAGCCAGAGCCCGCTACTTCCGGCAGAATCTGCGGTAGAGGGAGCAGGGGTGAGGCCCCAAGCATCCACGCTCCGCCCCCCCTCGCTAAGGGCACATGATCCGCTCCCAGGCAACTGCGGCTCTCGGGCTTCGACTTCTTGGGGGTCCGAGCAGAGCACCCACCGAGGCCCCGGGCGGTAACGGCATTTGGGCAGGAGGGTTTTCGGTAGCGAAATCGAGCGGTAGCAGGCCAGGATGAGCTGGGCTTGGGACTTCATGCTGCGTACACCGGATGCAGTTTACGGTAGCAAACAAGAAGGCCTCTACGTCTCCATGGCTCTCTCTCTACTCAATACCAAGAAGCTGATAAGAACGCAGATGGATACATGGAGGGGTCGGCTTGCAGGCGCAACCCCAAGGGGAGGCGGCCGGAAATCAAAAAAGCGCACGAGGAGCGCAGCTGAGGCCCCCGGCCCAGGGAGTTTTTATGCAGCTTCAACGTCAGTCGCTCCAGCTCCATTTGTTGGCCGAGGCCCGTCGCCAGGGCCCGGGCCCCGTCATCGCCTAGGGAGGGATTCTTCCCGCTCCGCGCGCTCCGAAAGGCCGCTGGGGCCGGGGCCGAAGCGGCTGAAGTGGGCGCCGAGGTCGAGGACGAGCACTCGAAGTTTCGGGAGCTCTGGCAGGGCCCGGCAGAGCGGCGCGAAGAGTTTCCGGAACTTCTCGTGGTCTCGGTGGGAGCGCACGCTCGGTCTGGGGCGTCCCGGGAGCTGAGCCCGCGGCCGGGGCCCCGGAGAACGAGCCCGAGCTTCTGCGCTTCCTCGAGCTCTTTGAGTGTTTTGTCCTGCGTGCGGCCGGCGGCGCCGGGCCCAGACGCTCTGTCCGAAGAGCTGCGTTTAGACCAGGAAAAACGAGCGATGGTGCCGAGCAAAGGTGACTATACCAGGTCGTGTCGGGTGGGTGGTAGCGGGGTTCCGGTTTCCAGGCTTCTTTGGGAGACACTTTGCCCTTCAGAACCCTGCCGTCGACTTCATTCGGGCCGGGCTCGAAGTGATGAAGAACTTGCCACGCTTCAAAGAGAGCACGCGAGCCTCCAACATGCACAGGAACTCCACCGCTGGGTGGGTGACCGTGCCCTTCACCTGAAGAGAGAATGCAGCCACAGCGACAGCCAGAGAACAGGGCAAGCTGTGAGAGAAAGAGCGGGAAGAAGCCACGCCACGAGCTCTCGTCACCCCGCCTGGCCGGTCCGGAGACCCCTGGCCAGTGCCACGGCGGCCTTGCCCAAATCGCAGCCCGTCAGATCCAGCTCCCGGAACTCGCCTCGGTGGGAGCGCGCTCGGTGGGGGCCCGGGCCTGGGCCTCCGGGAGCTGAGCCTGGCACCAGCAAGGCTCAGCTGCTTGAGGGTCCGATTCTGCTTCATGCCCTGCACGCGAGGACGGGGTTTGCTCGCAGCCACAGCGACTCTTCCTTTCGGCAGAAGCCTTTTGAAAGGCCTGTACAACTGGTCCCTGGGCCTCCGCGAGAGCGATGATGTCATCGATGCTTAGGCAGGCATGGATCAGGTTCAGCTCGATCAAAGTGCTGTTTGTCCGCAGAGCCTACGTGCAGAGTTGCAGGCATCTTCGGCATCGGTCTGCAAATCTCTGAATCCGCTCCCCGTTCATCTCAGAGCTCGAAGGCCTCGGCCAAAGCCTTGACATTAGCGACGCCGATGCCGTCGTGGGCGAGACTCAGTGCCGCAAGCGTCCCGTTGGACTGCAAAGCCAAGGCCTGCAGTGCATCGCTGAGCTTCCATGATGCATCTAGGCATCGGCAACTGGCAGTGGGCCTCGATGACCTGGCGGGTGCCCTCCTCAAACAGCTCGTTCTGCTGCAGGTGGAGCTGCCGAAGCTTGATCTTCTCCAGGGCCTGCCGAGAAGTGGTCGGGCTGCGGCTGGCTTCTGCATGCAGCACGGCTGAATTCGGAAAATGCTCAAAGGAAACAGCGGCCTTCAGCAGCAGCGGGAGCTTCGGGCCGAGCTCACAGTGGACGATCTCCAGGCTCCTGAAAGTGACGACGGTCTAGCCGGGAGGCCGCTTTAGCATTGACTGCGATCGCCGTCAAGACTGTCAGGCCTATCCTTTGCATGCCGAGGCACTCCAGCAC